CCTGACTGCTGAGTATCCGACACAGCTTTGAAAAGCAAGAGAACAAGAAATCTGTTGCTTTTCGGCAAGATTGTCCCTCTCCGGGGACAGCACAAGAGGCCTTGTAGTTGGATAACCACGGAAAGAAGAGATTGAGTTTAAATAACCTCTGGACCCAACAAGGCCTTTTTGCATTCTTAGACATTGCTGGTTTTTGTAGAGTTGACGTTAGTAAGGGAGCTTTGTTTTATTGTACAACAAGAGCTGCTTTCATCCATAATGGCTAAAAATAATCAAATAAAATAATAATAATAAAACAAAATACCAGGAAGTATGACGATCCAGTTTTATGAAAAAGCCTTTGGTGAGATGCCATTTATCAAAAGCTTTTTATGCCTTTAAAGAAAATTGGCTAGTAAAAAAAAAAAAGTGTTTCCAGATTTCTGATTTCTGGAGATGAATGAGAACAGATGTTAACCTTGCTATGTAAATTGGAGACACTTAAAAAAAAAAAAGTCTAGTATGGTATGAAGTGGATCACCTGCTTTGGCCCAAGGATAATTATCTTATTGTCCTCTGCATTCACACTATGTTGATAGAAACTAACTGAGTTGATGGGAACTAACCCAGGCATGATACTTCCCTCTGAAAAAAAAATCGGGGCCGGCCAAAAGAGACCCCACGCCGCGCACCAAGAAATTGCACACACAACACCAACGCTACACACCCTTCCTTTCCAGCCGGTCAGGTGTGGATCAGCTCCGGAGATGGGCAGCCGCTTCCCTGGTGGCGGGGCTGAGGCCGCCGCCCGGGGAGTGCCCGCTGCTTTCCCTTGCCAGGGCTGGGTGGTGGCGTGTTGCACGGAGAGACGGCTGGTCTGTGGCTGCCCAGCTCCCTTTTCCTGCCGCTCAGCGGCCTCCGCTCGCACCGCCCGGGCTCTGCTCAGGTGTCCAGCTGGGGCTGTCAGGAGTTGCTACCGCCGGCGCGGCTCCGCGTGGCTCCAGTCCCGCGTTGCCTCGGGAAGGGAAAGGCAAAACCGGGAGGCGCTGCACCTGAGCCTCCGGTGCCGCTGCTGCCATTGCAAAGCGCCACCGCGGCTCTTCCTTTTTGCCTTTCCCTTCCCGAGGCAACGCTGGACTGGAGCCGCGCGGAGCCATGCCGGCGGTAGCAACTCCTGACTCAGGGGGCCTCCGAGGGGAGGGGAAGGAGGAGAAGAAGGGGGGGAAGGGTGGGGTGTGTGTGATTCCCCAAAAAATCGGAATTCCGATTTTAATCAGAAGAATATCATGTCTGCTAACCAGGGGTGGAATTCTACCGGTTCGGACCGGTTCAGGTGAACCGGATGTTAAAGTTACATCTGGTTTGCCGAACCAGTTATTTTAATTGACCGGCTGGCCCCGTCCAGCACACCCCTCCCCTCCCAGGAGTATCCATGTGGCCCATTTTCGATGGAGGTAACGTGTAGGGTACATGTGAAGGCTCTGGGAGAGGAAAAAATGAGCCTTTCGGAAGTCTGGAAACGGGCCTGCTTCTGGCTTCTGGAGTGCCTCCAGAGGCTCGGGGGAGGCCTCTGGGCCCTTGGGTGAGCAACAAACGGCCCTCCTGAAAAATTGGAAGTCGCAAAATGGGCCTGTTTCTGGCTTCTGGAATGCCTCCAGAGCCCAGGGGAGGCTGTTTTTGCCATCCCAGAGGCCTGGGGGAAGCCTCTGGACCATTGGGAGGGTGAAAAATAGCTTTCCCGGAAGTACTGGAAGTACCAGAAGTTCAGAAATGGGCTGGTTTCCAGCTTCCGGTGGGCCTCCAGAGCCCAGGGGAGGTGGTTTTCACCCTCCCAGAGGCCCGGGAGAAGCCTCCAGACCTTTGGGAGGGCAAAAATGGCCTCCCCGGGCTTTGAAGGCCCACCGGAAGCCATAAACAGGAAGTTCTGGTAGGCCATGCCCGCTATGGCCATGCCCACCCAGCAACTGGGCAGTAAGCCGGTTGCTGGAATTTTTGAATCCCACCCCTGGAACTAACCAAGGAGCAAAACAACCTAGAACTAAGAAGAAATTTCTTAATGGTGACAGCAATCAATCAATGGAACAGCTTGCCTTCAGAAGTTGGAAGCTTTCAAAAAGAGATTGGATAACCGTTTGTCTGAAATGATACAGAGTTTCTTGCTCAAGCAGGGGGTTGGACTAGAAGACCTCCAAGGACCCTTCCCACTCTGTTATTCTATGTTCCATGTTGATAAAGCCAGAATACTATTCATTTTTAAACCTTTTTTTAAAAAAGTTTAATAATAGCCACCCAGAGCTGTCCTTACGAAAACCAGCCTGCTGATCCTATGATTATTATCTACCTTTCACTCAAACAAAGATCTACATGTTTGTGTACAAGCACATGCATATCTGTGTGGGATGGTGCTGGTTGTAAAAAACCCTTTTGTCAAGACCATGGAAAAGAAATGAACATTAAATAAAAAGCCACCCCTGGTTACAAACTTGTTCCTGTTTACCTCTCTCCGGAAGCTGGCCCGATCTCAGCGCTGTTCTCATTTAAAGTTCAGCTCAAATGCACACAAAGTAAAACATAACAGCTGAATTTGGACAATACAGTAAAGCCTTAAAGCCAGTTTCTAAAGCTCTGTTTCTATTCCCTAATAGCTTTGTCCTCACCAACCATTCTGGTAGCGTCCCTGAAACAGATGGTCTCTTCTGTCTCTAGATCCCATTCATTAAATTGAACAATCTTTCAGCCAGGATTACTGACACAGTTCTCCAAAGAGATCTAATACATGAATTCATTCATTCATTCATTCATTCATTCATTCATTCATTCATTCATTCATTTACTTATTCCTTCACTCACTCACTCACTCATTCATTCATTCACTTATTCCTTCCTTCCTTCCTTCCTTCCTTCCTTCCTTCCTTCATTCATTCACTCACTCACTCATTCATTCACTTATTCCTTCACTCACTCATTCATTCATTCATTTATTCATTCATTCACTCATTCACTTATTCCTTCACTCACTCATTCATTCATTCATTTATTCATTCATTCATTCATTCACTTATTCATTCATTCATTCATTCATTCACTCACTCATTCATTCATTCACTTATTC